GGGCGTTGGACCGAAATCAAAATTAGTTCTTTCTATCTTCCTCAAAGAATACACATTTGCTAATATAACACACTTTCCTTTGAGTTCGATGCATGATACGCACATAACTATTTTAGAATAAAAGCCATACGGCCTCAAAGCAATCCTATAGAGCGAGGGCAACCTTTCGAAGGCCATTCGACATACCAAGATGGATTCGTTCCAAAGGAAGGTAAGCACTAAATGGTTTTTCTCTGTGGAACAAACGAGAATTTCACTTAAATTTCTTTTTGAAATAGATCATTTTGATGAAACGGAAACACTTACATTGGCAGAGAGCATATAAAGAGATTTTAGGTAAACGCCAACGTTCTATGCGTCCAAGCGAACGCAATTATTTGTCGACTAGTGCATTTGATGGTAAAACAACACAGAAGTCAGATTACACTGCTAAAATGGTTGATATATGTCCAGCAGAGAAAGTGCTATCCAGAAGGTACGCTAATCTCCTTCAATTGAATTAAGGTAACTTTCAATTACAGGGATAAGTCTTACGAGTTTTCTAAAACACGAAATGGACACAACTTCTACCATCATCGTATCACGCATGCCAATAAGGCCTACAGCACACTTGTTCCAGTGGCATAATTGCATCTCGTTTCCCAAGATAATTAGTCTTACTTGTTGAAACGAACATTCATTTTCGTGCGCTAGGAGTGATACTGTGAAGTTAAAATAGATAGCATTGTAATACATTCTTCAGGCAATATTTTAGAATTTTCAAAAATAAATCCTATATTCCAACGGTTACATGCTGCCACAAATATTGAGTTGTCGCATGCGATAGCCGCAGTTTCAAAGAAAAGTTTCTCGAAGCTGCTTGAACTGATAACCTATGGCACTCAAATGTAAAAAAGAGGGTTCGTATGCAGCTTACGGGGAGCTGCCGAATGCTCTGCGATACGGAGGATATAGAGATGGTCGAAAGTGTTTTTAGCGAAAATTAAAAATTCCTCCTTTATTCGCATTTTTCTGTGTCAGAAAAGGAATGATTAGAAAGAAGAAGATTATTGAAATGAGCGTTTTGGTCAGGTTCCCGGAATTGAGGTTTGGCGCTTGGAAAAAATATTCGCATAGATGTTGTAGCTTCGGAAACAAAAGTCATACTCATCAGCTGCTAATACAAAACGTAGCGATTCATAGGTAACTTTACGAAGTACCTACTTGTTTCTACCTCTCAGCAAGATTGGAGGATATGCAGCTATGCCCTGAAAAGGGGAAGTCAACGTAAGCGCAACGGCCATATCAAAGTGTCTTCGCAACAGAACTGTGCAAAAGTCTAATGAAAATGTTCTTTGAAATTCAAAGGATTTAGTACGTTTTTCAGCAAGTATTTGCCACGTCCTTGTACTAGCAAATAATGGCTCAAATTTCTCGGATTTCCTTCCTTTTCGTTCGTAAAAAGAGGAAGTTTGTTCTCAATTGGACATTGGCACTTTTCTTGTCATCAAAATCTCCAAAGCAAAAAACATTTGAAGCAGTCTCTTAGCGAACTTGATTGAGATTTGTCCTTTTTAAAGGCCAGTAAAAGTTCGAAGTTTCCAAGCTTTCCAAAGTTGTACGCAATGTTTTAAAATAAACCTTGCCAGAATTTCAGAATTTCCTTGTAGCTAAACATTGACCGAAGCGAAATTAAATATAATCATTAAACTATTAGAAGTGCTGAACTGTCGAACCTAGTAGGGGTGAATAGTCTATGCCTCAAACAGGTGATGTCCAAAAACTTCAAATTAATGGTTTTAAAGGGAAATCACCTATGCTAGTTCTGAGAAGTATTTCATGCGGAACATTCGATCCGGTAAATAATACTTCATTGTTCAATTATTTGATTAATAAAAGTGCCTAGTAGTAAATCCCATTCGATCATGGAAAAACGAAGCAAAATCCAGGATTGCGTATTTTACTAAGCCTAGAGTCTTAATTCTTGAGTAACTAATTTTGATAGATGAGATCAGCTAATTTCAGCTGTTGAACTCATGTTGTAGGATAGGTACATAGTAGTAGTTGCTCCAAATTTTTGACGAGCTGAAACTCAAAACCAAAGGGGGTCATCTTGAGTCCGAGAGGGACGTTGAAGATTTCAGACTAGGTTTTTGTTGTAAGGGCTCTGTTTGGCTCGACTTACGTTTCGAGGCACTAGAACTTTGACTAAACATTCCACCGTTTGAAAAAGCACGAACATGGGATGCAACGACATATTTTTGTTTTTTCTAACCCATTTTTAGGAAAAAGAATTTGGGCATTGGTTTATGTTCATCCATGTACACTCTGAAAAAGAGCAATTGCTGCGATTTTCATGACGTATTTGAAGACCCATTTTTGACACATAGACGTCTTACATGCCTCTTAAACGCGCAAAAAAGGTCTATAAAGGGGCCAAAATATTCGGAGAAAACGATAGAAAGAAGGGCGATAACAGCCGGAAACTGTTAATAAAAGATTTACGTCCACAGTTGCAGAGAACAAATCAACGGATTCATTTCTGTGATCGTATTCGCAGAAGCGTTTTTGTAAATGGAGTTGTATTACCAAGTTGCATCAGTCAAGCAAATCGAATATTGCCTTATCATTGGTTATAGTAACATTCTGTTATCAAATACTAAAATAGGCTTTTACCAAGAGGGGACAAACTGAGTAGACCAGGCAACAACGTGACTTCGGAGTTCTCAATCATTATAATCATCCCCTTAGCCATATTAATCCTCAGGTATGGCTGGGAAATAATAAGTGAGTGAAAAATTCTACTTCCTGTGAGCTCTCCAATCTCCGCGCCACTCGCCAGCGATTCAAGCTAAGCAAGATCCGCCTAATTCCTTTTTTAGTCTCTCTCATAAGCTGTTCCATCAATTAGGAAAGCAGGCGATTGTTTCGAGGATGATTCGCGCCGCGACTAGTCCTCGCACTTCAAAAGACTGAGAACATTGTTTTTTGACAATTTCATACAAATTGAAGTTTATACTTCTATACTACACGTTCAGCGCACTGAACCAGCCCATAAATGACCTTTGAAAAACATGGATGGGAAAGTTTGCCCCTGCGATGCCTTTACGTCTTGATTCGGGTCAATTTTGATATTCTTATTCGAGGTGGCCGAAAAAGTTAAGCGAAGTAGGTTTCTAAAGCTGTCACTTTCCAACTTTTATCATAGACATTCAAATGACAGAAAACTAAGAAAAAGACAGATTAGACGTATTAAGAGCAGGCTCACGTGGTGCTAGGGGCTTTCGATAAAAGCCCGTGTATATGGGGGCATTTATTTGCGTCTGAAATGATAAGTCCATGTACATATAAACTTCTTGAAAAAACTAGCATTTATTGTTGAAAATCCTATATAAGCAACTATGTATTTCCCGAAGTCATAGTCTGAAATACAGAAATTATTGAGTTTAGGAAGAATTAAAGATAGATTGTATTCACAACAACAGAGTAGCAACATTTTCGAATACATGGAGGTATACATTAACTGATTCCGAGTTGCTTCGCTAACTTAAGGTATGACTGTTCAACACTTTTCAGTCTCTTTTCTAGATGGGCCTGTAAACTCGAAGTTGGAGCGATGAGATTTTCGTCGTAAGGCCAATCAGGCCCTCCTGAAAAAAATGTGGCAACATAAAAGCGACAGCTGACTTCTTTCTTACCTTCCAGACAATGTGATTCTTCCATTGGCTTTCTTAGCGTATTAAACCACGGATAATATTCATCACCGTTAAGTTTTCTGGAATTAATCATCGAACAGTAGAAGGATTAAAGTTTATGCTTAAGAGGTAGAAGGGCATTTTAGCACGACATTGAATAGACAGACGTTTTTCAAAGCAAAAATCTACAAACTATCATTTAACTCCCTTTCTTTCCCCATTTGTGGGTAAACACTGTTCTGCTGCAGTCTAGATGTGGATCATAATTTGTAAATAGAACAATAATCCTAGATTACACGTAAAAGGTTGTGAGGTACTCCCTAAATAGCTTTACACATTTTTTGCTCTTTATTCATTTTCAGGAGAACGAGATGACCTTTAGTCTCAGATCACATCACTTTTACGTAAAGAGTGCTTGTAAATTTCGGGAATTCGTATGGTCTTTTGCGCACTGTATCATAAGCTGTTCGTATTGCGTCGTGCCGCAAAAAAGTTCTTTGCTCAAAATTTGATTGAGATACCGAATGTTTTACAACTTCAACTTCTCTTTCGTTACCAATCCCCCTTTCATTTGAATTGACGTAGAGCGAGGCAGTACTTAGCAGAAAGCCGAAACTAGTCACAATTTTGTGAGGATCACTCATTGCCGCTTCCATTATTTTTCTTGAACTGCTTGCTAACAATGTTGGCATGCGCACACTAATTCTAGTCCATGCAAAACTCCACATCATTGTATGTTCAAAATGGAGCGAGTACTAGGCATCTCAGCAATTTATTAAGTTGCTTTCTAGTTTTGGATGAAAAACGCTCAGCATGAAAGAGTGACCATAAATACATGAAGCTTACTCTTCTGCTCGAAGCTCCTAAAATGGGAGTGAAGAACAAGAAAGAAATGCAAGAAAAGTTCATTGTTTCAAAAGAAACCACGGCTATATTTGTCTTAAATTTGATGGCTTACGACTCATAGAACTAACCTAGGGCGCGAAGAGGAAGTGCTAATGTGGGCTTCACCATCCTTGAAGGGCCTTTAGTCACAACTATCGACTCACTGGTTACATTGTTGTGTGTTTCAATACGCGCATTTCATTCAACCATCACCGTGAGGTTTTTTGTTATTTTCTGATTTCTAGCTGCGTGCCTTGTATGAAGTAGGAAGATTGAGCTACTGACGTGATTAAGAGGTTGGAGTGCACAACTACTTGAAAGATAAACCAAACATCGATGTAGATCCATCGCACTTGATGGGATGTAAGGAACGCGCTTCACTGTTAAAAATGCAAATGACTTTGATTTAACAGTTCGCGACGCCATCATCGGTCGTGTAGCGGCTCAATTTGTTTTTCGACGATTCGCGAACGGGTCGTAGATTTTCGTCAGAGTGCCAATGTTCTATCGGTACGAAGCAGATTTGCGGAGATCGCACATCAGTAATAGAAAGCACCTTCTTTTGCGGATCAGGGGGAATACTCTTGATGAGCTTAAACATTTCAGTTCTGGATGCACGTGAGACTTTTTCGTCCATTTTTTGAGCAAGTTCATTGGGATGAAGTAGTTTCCAGCGAGAAATTGATACATTACAATCTCTTGAAAGGCGCTGAACTATGACGGCGAATAAGTACGTTATTAGATTGAACAGATGCAAGAGGAAAATAAGAGCGGGCTTGGCGTATTAGTAACTATTTCACGATGTCACAAAAACAGACCTCAAATGTCCTAGCCAAAAAAGTAGGTAAACGTCTCTCTTCAACCGGTAGAATGTCAAACTTTAGAACTTTTTAGTTTCTAGTTCATAAAATTTGCTTTTTCTTGTGTTTGAAAGAGATATGTCTCATTATTAAAGATGTTTAGAAACCAATGGAAATTATGTCTAAGAAAATTCTGTTTGAGCAAAGTTACGTGTCCACAAAAAGAAGGCCGCAAAAATGTCATCATGCTAGACATTCTGATATTTGCTTCCCTAAGAAGTTTCTCATGGTTAACAAAACTACGCTAAGTGCTTTTACATTTTTCACAAGCTTTAAATGAGAAAATCAACTTTTTCAAATTTCGGCATATCTCACCCTATATCGCCTTCTTTGCGAATTAATTTATACTGCTCCTTCCAAGCGTGGAACATGAAGTCAATCTCAGGATTCCAGTGACTATTGG